GAGTCCAGTAACCACAAGGTCATAGTATCAACTAATGTTGGTAGTACTCAGATTTTCTCTTCTGAGCCCCCTGCAGCCCCCCCCCCCCATGCAGGCATTTTGAGGGGAGTCGTATTTCCCCCCCCCCCCCCCCCTTACACAAAAGGGGGCGGGAAGGAAATACGACTCGTAAAAACGCCTGGGTGGGAGGCTAAGCCACTCGTGTACTGACTGCAAAAAACATCTTTCGATTTCTCAAAGCATGATTTTTAAATTTTTCCAGGATTATAATGATAATTAAGCTGCATGTAAAAGTGGCTCTCAACGTTTTCTTTTGTCACTGTAAGCTGGGAAACTTACTCCTGAGAAAGCACATGAGTACATCACATCTTACTTGCTTCTCGACAATGGGAAGCCATTCGATTGTTCCATAAAAGCCTTACTCAACAGGACAATGATCTCAGTTGATAAAAATCCACAACTTCCTTAATTTATGGTAAGTGGTGACTAATGTCCCCAGCAGCGTGTTTAACTTCACCCTCCCCAAACCCGTGGATGTAGTTTCAAAAACGAAGACATTCTCTATTCCAAATCTACTCAATTCCGGAGCATTCGCCAAATTTTTAGCTTGTGTTACCTTGTACTAAAGTAAAATACTTTACTTGTGAAGCGCTAGTACAAATTCATGTACATTATGCTTTCCCTATTTTACTGTCTAAAACCGTCAAAATAACTAGATATAAACGTGGCCTCTTACAGGGGTACTGTCGTAAAAAGTGTCTTGTTCTTCAGATATCGTGCGCTTTTCCCGTTTACATCGCAGCACGATCTCACTTGGCCTAAAAAATGATTTAATGAAATTCATGTAGCAGCAGTAAGGCTGGAACTTTCATGGCATAAAATGGCTTAAAATTCGAGGGAAAAAAGTGATTAAGAATAATAAAATTTGAAATGATTAATTATTGAACAAAGACAGGATACACTTGCCAACTTATATCTATTCAGCTCGTGAAATAGTTATGGAGTCAGGCCTGCCTCCACTAGTTTTGCTATTTGGAGGCTTGTCTTAAATTTTTTGTAATTCCGTTACGAATTCAAATGAAAATTATGTACTCGCGAAACCATCACAACACAAGAGCGCGCCCGCCTAAATGCGGTTAAGCAACAAGTCGAGGGTCGTCCAGTGCATCGCCGAATTGTATCAGCCAAGGCATTTTATAGAACGTGTACAATAGAAATGTTGCGTGTTTTCCCTCTTCTCGAGTGTTTCCTAAAATTTCCTAAGTGCTCATGTAACTCAACAACGGGCGAGAAACGTTTCTTTACTATCGCGTGCTAATCCTAGTGATAAGAAAAGATCGCGTGCACTCCTATTTATACGCACGAACAACATAGTACGGAGGCGTGCAAAGCGAACTATAAGTTTGGACATTCATTAAATGCCGTTTGCAAAATACAACTTGACTATCTACACAATGTAACAACTATAAATGTGTAAAATCTGAGCTAAAGCCTTAACTGAAAACACCTTTTGATACTACAAGAGAAAGGTGGAAAAGCATCCCTCAAGCAAATGCAGGCGCCCTAAACTTGGAGGGTAAAACGGACAAAGGAAATACAATGGAACCTCTCCAAAGGGACAACTCCACTCAGGGGACACAAAATTTGGTCTCAGAAAAATGTTTACATAATCTTTGTATTGTTACCTCTAGTGAAGGGTGACCTCTGTACAGGGGAAAGGGACACTTTTTCTTGGTCCCAAAACCCAGCTTTAACCTCCATTCAAGGGACACCTCACACACAAACGTTTTCACGTTTTCACATGACGTCACGGCGGCCATATTGGTGTTCCAAAACAATGAAACGGCGGCCATGTTGGTGTACCAAGTCAACCCTGTGGCAAATGAACTCTTTTCTTACGTAAAAACTTTCTTTTGTTCCAATAAATTAGCATAGATGCTGGCCACGTGAGTGAAAACGCTCTATATCGCAGAGATGGGTTAATCAGGTTCAAGAGCTGAGATGCATACATAATGACCTCAGAGCATAACGTAGGGTGTGTGCTATGGAATATAATGAACTTGTTTTTCTTGACCAATCACAACACAAGTACTTGGACATTGTTTTCTCCATGTAGCCCGCATCCCTCCCTTTTCCCTTTCGCGCTTTTCTCCCTTTCCTCTCCCCCTGCTCTTTTTGCATTATTAGACTGGTGACTTAAAATGGATAGCAGACTGCTACGCAATACCCTAACAAAATACTCTAACTATGGCACTACTATACACTAATTCCATTGTCTTCTTTTGTTTACTTGCAGCTATTTTGCATTAATTTTTGTATCTGTTTCACGGGTTAAGTAAAATCACTATAACGAAAGAAAGCATTCATCTTCCAGGCTATTATAAAAGCAAAACGGCCATTTTGGTTGACAAAACAATATACTTTTAATTTGTCTAAACCTGAAAGCGTCTGCCTTAGCGTCCCTTATTTATTCTAGACGTCTCAAACGCGTCAATCGTCTTTACGGCCATTGTTTACTATTATAATTATATAGTCGTAATAGCATTCACGAAAGAGAAAAACCCTGGTACAAACAACACAGGGCTCAATATGGTCTGTTTAAAACTCATTTGAATTAAACGCATTGGCTAAAAATGGCTCTTACAAAAGGCGTTTAGGAAACTTGATCATAAAATGGGTAATCTTATTATATGGCTACAACTGAGCTGTTTTAAACAAAAACCTACTAAATTTCCGCTTACTTTGACATTCGTCATTGAATCGCCTCAACCTCTTACAAAAACTTGAGAGTAGAATGAGGAATGAGTTCACGGGACGGCTTGATGGAAACGGAATAGATTACTTGACATAAAGTAGAAATTAATGAAACCCTAATCCTAAACGCATAGTTTACAATTTATAACATTCCCCATGTCACACCACCAGCCTAGTACCTAGGCGTTCTCGGCTAGGTTAATTCTGGGCTGTCACGTCACCGAGAGAGACTCGCCCGCTGTTTCCCGGACTCTGCGCGGAGAACGGGCAAGAGAGAACGCCTAGGGACTAGGCTGCCACGCCACGTGTCATTCCGCTGAGTTATTCCTCCTCTTACCCAATCCGCTTACAAAGCGGTTATAATCATACTTTTAAATGTTAATTACAACAAGAAAAATTCTATTTTCGTGTCAGTTTAAGGTGGCTCCGTAATTAATGCTAGAGCATTTTGCTCTGACAAATTTTCCGTCATAACTTTTTGGTTTTTAACGCGATGGCTGCGAAACTTTGCAAACAGAAACAGACATCATTCGGCAATAAAACGAAATATTCCGATTTCATTGATGGTAAATATTTCTTGAGAAATTAGCGCTTAAAAGGACCCTACTGTTCAAAGAAAATCGCGTCTAGTAAAAAATTTTGCTGATATTTTTTACTGAAATTTCTGGTAACAGCTTTCATTGATATGATCAATATGCCAGAGGAATTTCAGAAAAATCGTTGGAGCAGAAGTCCGTAACTAAAAGTCGCTCAAAATTCAGCTGTGAAATTGTTTTGGAATTTCAAAAATAAATTACTATCAGGGAGAAGGAGCCACCAGTTTGAATTTTCGGGACAAGTAAATTCAACGTTTGCTAATTCTTAAAACAAAAGCCGATTGCCTATCGTGCTATTCTTTAAAAGGTACTTTTTAGTTTTAGAAGCGCTATAAATTGCTCCAAACCTTGCTCTGAAGTAGAATGACTTGTTCTTCGACAGTTTTAAAATATCCCTTGGCAGTTTTGGCTCAAACTCCTGCTGCATACATTTTGATGTATTGCAATGCATTTTCAACGACTTTTACTGCTGTTCGTTGCTTCCAACTCACGAAAAAAGTAATGAGATTGGACGCTACCTCGTATCAGAGCTCAGATAGAACTCTTCAGCACCTTTGTTTATGACCACAAAATGAGCACGAACGGCAGTTCTGCGAGGAATTCGCACCTCACCCAGGGGGGACGAACGACAATGATGATGACCATGCCTGTGAACCGAATAACATCACAGTGCAAAATAAAATTATCACACAAATACTGCCCGTGAACAAATTTACAACTCTGAAATTTTTGTCACTCCTTCCTTCAATGAATGGGTATTTTTTTCTTGATTATTATGTTTTGCTCTGCAATACATTTTTATACAGATCGGTTCACAGACATGGGCATCATTGTCATTCGTCCCCCCTGGCTGAGGTGCGAATTCCTCGCAGAGCTGCCGCTCGTGCTCATTTTCTGGTCATAAACAAAGGTGCTGGACAGTTCTATCTGAGCTTCGATACAAGGTAGCTTACAATCCCAATACCTTTTTCCTAAATTGGAAACAACGTACAGCAGGAAAAGCCGTTGAGGATGCATTGCAATACATCAAAATGTATGTAGCAGGAGTTTGAACCAAAACTGCCAAGGGATATTTTAAAAATGTCGAGGAACGAGTCATTCGACGTCAAAGCAAAGTTTGGAGCAATTTCTAGTGCTTCTAAAACTGAAAAGTACCTTTTAAAGAATAGCACGATAGGCAATCGGCTTCTGTTTTCAGAATTAGCAATCACTGAATTTACTTGTCCCGAAAATTCAAACTGGTGTCTCCTTTCTCCTGATAGTAATTTATTTTTGAAATTCCAAAACAATTTCACAGCTGAATTTTGAGCGACTTTTAGTTACGGACTTCTGCTCCAACGATTTTTCTGAAATTCCTCTGGCATATTTATCATATCAATTAAAGTCGATACCAGAAATTTCAGTAAAAAATATCAGCAAAATTTTTTACTAGACGCGATTTTCTTTGAACAGTAGGGTCCTTTTAAGCGCTAATTTCTCAAGAAATATTTACCATCAATGAAATCGGAATATTTCGTTTTATTGCGGAATGATATCTGTTGTTTTTTGTAAAGTTTCGCAGCCATCGCGTTAAAATCGAAAAAGTTATGACGGAAAATTTGTCACAGCTAAATGCTCTTGTATTAATTACGGAGCCACCTTAAAGTGAACAATAGAAATGTACTCTTTGTCCAAGGCTTAAAAAGTAAAACTCGAAAGGAGTCCGAGTTTGTAAACGTCTTTGCCACGGTTGAACTTGAAGAAAAGTGAGCTAAATAGGTTCATCCACATGGTGATCACTAAAAGTTAATACTGTACGTGGTTTTTCGTTGGTACTTCGAAGAGTACTGCAAATCCTTCTTTGGGAACTACTAGGGAAGACATGAAAAGCAGACTTTAGAACCTGCCTTAGCCTCAGGTGCAGCCTTGGAATCCTTATTTTTCTATTGGTGTCAGCATCTGTCGTGGTAACGCTGCGCCCTCTGAAACAATCAGCCAATAGAGTATGCCAAGAAACAGCCTATGGCTTTCAAAACTTACATCAGTGAGCTGCAAAAATAAAAATATTGCAAAATATTAGCTATCATTGTAATTTCGATTAAAACTTAAGAGGAACGTTTTTCGGGTCAGTTGCCCAGTTAGAAATAACGTACGTTAAAAACTGCGAATAAACTTTAAACATAGACGTACGTTTCCAAAAGTAGCTTTACAATGGTAAACTAAAGGAGTCCTTTGGTTAAATAGGCATAAAATATCATAAAGAGATGACGGCTTTATATTGTAACAGGGGGGCAACTTGGTGTCATGACTTTCATCCCAGTTTTACTCAGTTACAATTAGAGTACTGTCACATAACCTATAACTACAAGTGTAATTTATCTAGCGCTACTAATTTATTTTCCTGTTTATTTTGGCTTGTGTTCACTTTGTAGCACTCTTTGGTGTTTAACTTATTGTAATTCAGTATTTTCCATGTTTATCCCTCTAAATTTTGCATAACCATTACCTTCGCTTTCTCTTAGGACGACTGTAAAACCCAGGAGAAATTGGAAAGAATGTTTGCGGAAAATTTGGGATGGGTGGGGGTGGGTATCAAGAAGGTGAATTACGGTCTTTGTGAAAATGGTGAATAACGGAGAATAGGATGTGTAGATGAAAGTATATTTGAATTAACTCTACAAATTGAAAGAAAAGCTTGTCAAAATATTGGACATAAATTACAAGATTTATGACGTTACCTCGGCAATGTGGGTTTTCTATTCGTTCCCAGCAAATTCCAATGTGACGTCATCACCAATAAGCACGAACGGTGCCCAATACTTGACTGCATTAAACTCTTCAGATTCTCTCATACAGTTCATTGTTTGATTCAAGGATTCACTAGCACTTATCCCTTTCACAAGACGCTGATAGAAATTTTTCATGAATTCCAAAGTGGCTTCATCATCAATCGCCCACAACGACACCAGAACAGAACGAGCACCAGCACCCAAAAATGCTCGTGCTATACCGACCACACCCTCGGCTTTGATCTCCCCACGAGCACTGTGACAGCAACTGAGTACAACTAGTCTTGCTCGCATCTGAACACCCATTACATCTCTCATCGTCAAAATGTTCTCTTTCACGCCTTCTGTTGACGCTAGGGCAATCTCTCCCGTTTCCATATTGCCATGTGCAGCAATGTGCACCAAGGCAATAGAATCGAGTCGCGCTAAAACCTCATCTTTTGTGGCCTGTGTTCCAATTAGAGGTGTGCTGCCAAGCATTCTGCCAATCATTTCTACTTCCTCCCTGGCACATGGTAGCGGTGGACGCTCTGTCAAAGGATCACCCACAAGAAGTGCACCTGACTTGTGATGGTAATCTACTGGACAATCCGCAATCATTTTCAAGCTGGTGAGGGACGGAGCCACCCGAATTCTGAAAGACTCGCAAAGGTACTTGGAATTCGGGCCCTTAAATGCAGCAAAAGGAGCCAAGCAAAGTGGTCCTTCAGGGACAAACATGAGTTCAGTGCCCAAAAGAAGATCTTGAATAGGCTCAATGATGGTGTCATACAATGTGCTTAAGCCGCTTTTTTGTAGGTGCAAGCATTTCGTTTGTTTGCCATCCTGGGGTGACCTTTTAAGTACCAGGTTATCCGCTAATTGAAGTGAACGATCTTCACACTTCACAAGACCCCTTGTTCCAATTTCCTGCTGCGCAACCTGTACGAGAACCTCCAAGAAAGTTTCAACTTCATCCTCAGAATGGATTTTTTTCTTTCGTAATTCAAATTCCTTTCCACTCTGGCAAACCCAGAAGATTAATTTGTTTTCTCCAAAGGCCACAAAAATTGTGTTTGGAGGAAGGTAACCAAGCAGTTCATTGACTGTTTTGACTCCTGTACCAGATCCAACATACGCATCACTGCTTTGAAAGGCATAACTTAGTTCCATAAGATCTTTTAAACCTTGTGCCCGTCCTTGCTCGGCGGAAAACAAAGCTTCTGTAACGTTGCCCTCTGTTAACATCAAACGCCAAAGGCCTGCGTATACTATCTTGAATCGATCACGCAAGCTTATTTTCAACTCGTCTTTCAATTGAAGACGATCTCTAATATTATTAAACAAAGTAATAGCTAGTTGGTAATATTTTATGGCCGCTGTAACCTGTCCCAGAAATTTAA